CGAAAACTGAAGCAATTATATAAGGAATAGGATACATGTTTAGTTTGATTGTACATGGTGGTTGAATGAGTGTTTACTCCAATATCCTAAAGACAATGTTATATCAGTTAGAATTGTAAAAAACGAAAGAAAAGTCATATTTAGGAAGCACTTCCACGTTAGGAATCAAGTTAGAGCTGTTTTAGGAATACATTCCGGAACTGCTTCCTAAAAAATTACGAAAACTGAGGCCAATATATACACAATAGGATACCTGTTCTGTTTGGGTGTACATGGTACTTGAATGATTGTTGCTACTACTAGCCTGAAAACAAAAAACAACACGAGTATTTATGAAGGAACTTCTCTCATTTGGAAGCTATTCCTAAACTCATGGTAACTGAAAAATCGAGAAATAGAGAGTATACCTGTTCATTTTGGTCCTATTTGCTGCTCAAAATATTAGTGCAGACAGTAGCCTAAGAAAATATATACATACAAGCTGAGTTAAGAAACAGTTGCGTACATTTAGGAAGGCTTCCTAAATGAAACTTGTAAAAGAGTAAATGATTTAGGAAGACTTCATAAATGAATAGAGAAGGTATTTGTTCATTTTGGTCCTGTTTGCTACTTGAAATATTATTGCAGACACTAGCCTAAGGAAATTTTCAGAAATTATAGTTAGGAAAGAAATAAAGCACAAATGATTGAAAAAGTAAGGAACAACATTCAATTTGTTTCACTAATCACCCATAAAATGTTACCTGTTGTGTAAAATTCTCAATCATTACAAACAAAAGAAGATTTCCAGCAGCTTCCTTTATCTTTATGAAGAAGCCTTTTACTTGGCGATCATTTCTGATTTGAAAGGGAATATCATATCGTAAACTTCCTGTCAGAAGGGGATCTTTGTAGGTGAGAGTGATTTTAATATCATCCATTCCGAAATCAGCCTTCACAACCCTTAGAAGGTCTACATATGTGATATCTTCATCAACAACAGAAAATGAACCTCTTCTGCTTAAATCTACATCAAACTCCCACTGCTGATTCTCGCCGAATTTCCAGACACCACAAACAACATATACGCCAACCATATTTCTGTGAATTACAAAAAACAAAAACACAATTAAGAAGAAGAACAGAAAAATATACTAAATGAAGCAACCAAAAATAAGTATATGATCTTGAGTCAATGAACAAGAAGCTTTGAAAACAGCCTTATATATGACTAAAGAAAGTAAGCATTAGGGCATCATTCTTGTCCTAAAAAGAATCAATAATTAAGGAATCATAATTCCAAAACTTTAGCCGTAAACTAATTTGATGTTAATTATGAAGACATTCCTAAACCGGAGGAATGTCTTCCTAAAAGTTTGAAACAACCCTTCAAAGTCAATCATCGAGCGATGCAAAAACAGTGCTGAACAGAATGAATGTCAATCATCGAGTAAACATGGAATACAAATCTCTAATTCAATCATTTCGACAAAAAATGAAAAACAATTTTGAAATTGTTTTTAAAAATCTTTGCAACATCGAAAAGCAGAGGAGGAGAGTACCTATTGACGACGGCGATGATGTATGGGCAATTATGTATCGGCAATGATGTATCGGCGGCGGCGTGAAGATCCCGATTTGAAACTGAATATTAGATAAAGGCGAAGATGATGATCAGGATTTGAAATTAATGAAATGAAAAAGCAGGGAGTATCTATTGTCGACGGTGATGATGAAATCGGCGATGGTGAAATCGGCGATGGTGAAATCGACGATGATGAAATCGGCGATGGTGAAATCGGCGATGGTGAAATTGACGATGATGAAATCGGCGATGGTGAAATCGGTGATGATGAAATCGGTGATGTTGAAATTGGCGATGGTAAAAACTGAAGATCGAAGCGATGAATTTAAAACTAGAAATAATTCCAAAATAACAAATTTCTTCGTGTTTTATTTGTAAGGGCAATTTCAGAAATCTCATATGAAATATGTTATGAGGTGGAAAAATTTAGCATCCAATGTATGTTAGGAAGAAAAACTGAGAAAGAATGTATTTGAGGTCATTTTTCTATTAACTTTATATAGTATCTACAGTCTAGTGGCATTACTTTAAAGTCATTAATAAAAAAAATCCCCCAATAAAGAAGCCGAGATTGTATATGACACACACAGCTGCTTGACTTTTGACTAGTCGAGAGTGTCGAATTATCAACCGCCGATTATTAATGCACGTTGAGTAAAGTCACGGTCCAGATCACTCCTTCAACGTAGATGCGTTGCATAAGATTTAAGTCTCATTTCAGCGCCAACGTCAAAATTTTGGCGCTCGTTCAAAAATTTCAAGATTGAAAAATTTAACCCGCAAATACACAAACACCAAAATCGAAATGTTTCAAAGCTTTTCATTACCAGAAGAAATACACCTTTGTATCTTCTTCATCTTGCACACACACACACACACTCTCTCTCTCTTCTTTCTCTTCTCCCTCTTTGTTCCATTTGATTAATTTAATTTGTCTTCGAGAGAGGCCGAAGAGAAATGAATCTGATTCGGAGCTCACAAATTCGCTGAAGAAACTCGAATCTCAGGTACTTTTGTGTTCGAATCTCGGATTTCTGATATTTCTGAATCCTATTGTGGCGGCAAATTATCTGGGTACAGCTCTTGGTAGAATCTAATATTAGGGTTCTTATTAGCAGGGTTTAGGGGTTTTTTCACGCATCCTGGATCTCAAATTGAGCGAAGCGCCTCGTTTATCTTTCGTTTTTTCTGGGTAATCCAATTTCACGGATATGGTGAGAATCCAGAAAGTAGAATCGTTCTATGCTAAACTTCGCGAATCAGCTACTTCATCGTCTTCTCAGAATCCTCTTCTGATATTCCCTTCATCATCTGATGTCGATTCACTATGCGCGCTCAAGGTCATAACCCATATCCTGGAGTCAGATTCGATCCAGTATTCGTGTTTCCCTGTATCGTCGTTTACGGAAATCCACAAATACGCAGGACCTGGGCTTTGTTCTTCGTCGGATAATCCTATGACCATACTGTTGATCAATTGGGGATGTCACCGTGATTTGAAGGTTGTGCTGAAGCTAGGTCCTGCGGCTCGTGTCTTTGTTGTGGATAGTCACCGGCCGATTCATCTGCACAATCTGAGCGAATTGAATGAGCAGGTCGTTGTTCTTCACACTGATGATGATGAGAGGCAAGCGGATCTGGCTTACGATTTCGATGTGTTGAAATTGGCTAACGAGAGCTTTCAGATGCATGTAGAAAGAGAAGATGGTGATGAATCTGATGGTGGAAGTGATGATGAAGAAGAAGAAGAAGAAGATGATGAGGAAGAAGAAGAGAGTGGTGATGATGGAGATGGTGATAGGCCGAGTAAGAGGAGAAAAATGGAAGATGGTGTGAAGGTTTTCAAGAAACTAAAGAGGGATTACTACAGGATGGGTACTTTCCATGGGAAGCCATCAGGATGCTTGCTCTTCGAGCTATCTCACATGTTGAGGAAGAACACTAACGAGTTGCTTTGGCTGGCTTGTGTTTCCTTGACTGATCAGTTCGTCCACGAGAGGTTGACTGATGAGAGATACCAAGCTGCGGTAATGGAGCTTGAGCAACACATCAATAGCTCGGGAAACATAGACAAGATCACTTCCGTTACTCTGAAAGACGGAACCAAGGTTCGAGCACCTGACTGCTCAAGAATCTCTTACGAGGAAGAGCCTAGGCTTATGCTTCTCAGGGAGTGGAATTTGTTTGACTCCATGCTTTGTTCGTCGTACATCGCAACTAAACTGAAGACATGGAGCGATAACGGCATCAAGAAACTTAAGCTTCTTCTAGCACGTATGGGATTCGCACTTATCGAGTGCCAGCAAAAGTTTCCTTACATGAACAACGAGGTGAAAAGGAAAATGAAGCAGGAGTTTGATCGGTTTTTGCCGGAATATGGTCTAAACGATTTCTACTACCGAAGTTTCTTGCGGCTTCATGGTTACAGCTCAAGGGTCTCTGCTGCAGACGTTGTCTATGGTATTACAGCGCTTCTTGAATCGTTTCTTGGCTCAGGTGGCTCATCTGCTTCGAAACAGTTCGGTGAAGCTTATGACGCTCTGTCTTTAAACAATCTGGACAAACTTCGGTCCGGGATGCAACAAGCAATCAAGGTTCAAAGAGCGATTCTCAGACAAGGAAGTGCAGCGATCACCAAAACCGGATGCATACGAAGTGGTAGGAAGTTCAGATGGGTGAAGATTGTAGACTCCATCGACGCTAAGTACTTGGGATATCCTCAGGCTTTGACTAAGTTCTGTTACTTTTTAATGGATGCTCTGAGAGAGAAAGGAGCTAGGATGAAACCGATGCTATGCGCATGCGCGTCTCAAGAATCCGGGATGATACTTGTGGTCGGAGTTTGCGGGAAGCCGAGGCTAGGTGCGGTAAGAGGGAATGCATTTGGTAATGCTTTCAGAAAAGCAGCTCAAGAGAGTAATGCTGATTACTTTCACGAGCTGTTTGAGTCTTCATGGATCGTCATGGATGCTTCTGCGGTAAACTCTTTCATGATTAATTTAACTGAGAAGCTTTGACATAGAGAAGAAACTCATGATATCGTTTTCTTCTTCGATTTTCAGTGTGTTTTCTTTTATAGTTTTTTCTTATATTATCTCACATTGTTTGCAATGTTTACGAGCCTGTGTTATAGGGAGAATCTGTTATCAATCATGTAACTTGTTAAATCAAAATAACCATAGAGCTGTGAAAAAATGATTGGTTCTTTAAACTCATTTTAGTGTTGACTGAAATAAAGTTTCAAACAGCTCTTAGCTTCTAAGGTTTGGCAAAACTTGAAGAACCCAAACATGAAACAAAACTTATTAAGTTCAACAAGGTTGTGTAGTGATCCACCAAAGTGTTTTAAAGAAAGTAAAAGCAAGGATGTAACAATGTGTGAAACAAAAGGAGATCTTAAGAGTTGTAGATATTAAAAATCCCAACATATATTTGCTTAGAGTTTCTCATCTTTTGGCTTCTTTAGAAGTAAGCTCCCTAAAGCAGTGGTCAATGCAGTGGATGTCATCAATGAAGCTCTTAGTAAACCAATAGCCTGCATTGGTATAAAATCGAGTTCAAAACAAAATATATACCAAGAAACATAAGTATGTTGGTGAATATTATTTATTGAAGACATACCTCTGTTTTGGTAATGTTGATTACATGCTCCTCAATGTCATCCAAGTCAACATTCCACTTCTTCAAAATGCTGATAGTTGAAGAAGAGTTTGCAGATGAGATAGTAAGATCATCTGAAATCATATACGTTGTCCCTTTCTTTACAAGCCCACTTCTACCATGAACGGTTGATTCAGAACTTCCATCATAGTTCGGATACATCAGTTTCAAATCATAGCTTTGAGAGTGTATTGGCACTGTCCACGCACTGCAAACTTTGCTACAGACATCAAGCAGAGATGTCTGGAAGTTATAGTTCGCAGGAAGCTTTGATGTGGATGAACTAGACCTCAAGCTCTTCATGCTTGTGTAAAAGTTGTCAATGCATCCCATCTCGATGTTGGTTCTTGATATTTCCCACGCAGCTTCCAAAGGGATAGCCAGAAAAATGAGTAGTGAATCCACAAAGTCTTGCCCGCTTTCGGCGTAAAGAACCTTCTTGTCTTGCTTCCTAACGAATACAGTGACTGACATTGCTTCACTTGATGATTCTGCTTTACCTCCATTGTTTTGCAATGCTAGGCTTGGCATGTTATGCGTCTTTGTAATGGTACATGAGCTTCGTTTGTTCAAGAACGCATCAGTCAAGGGAGTATCCGAAGAGAATAAGCATTCCAACAAAGCTAGTACCTAGAGCAAACAGGGTCTTAGTAATGGCATGTAAAGAAACGATTATCATAACAAAAAATTATATGTAATTACCTCTTTGTGACAAACGTCTACAAGAACATCATCAAGTTTATCAAGATCTGTATAACCGAGTTCCCTAAGTGTCTTGAGGGTGAGAGAAATGGAACTAACTCCAACTTTCATGTTGTCTGAAATGAAGGACTTCTTCTCGCTAACAAATATTTCCTTACCGCCAACTTCAAATACTCGTATCTCCTTCGACATAAACTTGCCACAAATACATTTTAAGGAGCAGAAGTTACTATAAGCCTTGGAGCATGACTGAGACTTCCCCGAATCCGGGCACCTATAGAACTTCATGACCTCGGTGTCATCTATGTTAAGCTTAAGCCGTTTGCATTGCCTCTCTTTGGCATGCATCGGATACAAGAGTATATGCTTACAAGCCTCAGTCAAGAAATCATCGTTGCTCATATCAACAACACTTTTGTAGAGATTGTTGAAACAACCTATTGTACAGGCTGCTTGATTCTGCTCATGCTTCTGCAGCAATCTCACAATGGTACCCATTGGTAGTATCAGAAGACTAAAGAGTACATCAACAAAATCCTTACCAACTTCAGCCAAGACAACCTTGTTTTTCTCCTTGTCGACAAAAAGTTTCAGCCTAAAAACTGGTTTTTCTTTTGAAGACTCAGTTCCAGCCATTGAAAACATTCTTGAAAGTGTTTTGAAGTCGAAAGGCTTTCTGTTTATTTCATTGACGGCATACACCGATATATATAGTTAGACAGTTGACCTAGATTCCTTAAAGATTTACATTCATCGAAAATGATATTATCATTTCCAAAGTTTTATATTTCCAAAAAGACCTTCCAAATGCCTTGGAGAAATGTATCTCTTCGACTTAATTATATGTTAGAAATAAATATTAGTTTTCAACAGTCTTTATGTCAAAGAAACTCCATTTATATAAAAACATATCTGACGAATAATCTTTCTGTTTTCGAGTTTACGATAAGATACAAGCAGAGAGACACAAGACAAAGACCCTAAGACGAAATGGGTTTGGCTTAAAATCCTCAAAATTTGTACAGAACAAGAACAAAAACACAATCCAGTTCAACAAAGACTACTCCAATAATCCAGTTCCCCTCTAGTCTAACCCAAATTTGTGATTAAAAATGAGACTCGTGAAGCAAAATCTTCATGGCGACGATAGAAAGTTGAGAACAAAATGTCTATTTTCTTATCTGGAAGACTTCTTTCTCCACAGGGTTGTACCACGGTTGATCTCCTGACCATTTCCAGACAACCTTAAGAGATGTAGGAACTGGCTATCGTTGTGTCCCGATGTCGCAGAGCCATTGGTCCCACCAATCTCTGAGGTGGTGAGTGAATCCACCACATCGTCTTGTTGACATTCTCTTCTGTAATCCAGAGTTATGACCTGAAGCTCATGCGTGTCTACAATTTCTTGAGGTATACTCTGCCATTACCAATAAACAAGATCATATGATTATTACTGAAGTTCCCATCGAACTTAACTTGTAAAGTTGGTGACACTAACCTCAAGAACCCATCCAATATAGGTGACATTATTAACATGCTGGTTCATGTCAAGATCAGCTCTTCTAGGCTGCAAAAAAAAAAAAAAAACATGATATACAAAAGTCTTTAAGGAATTTTTGAAACCTAAAGATGGAGAAAAGAGAGTACAGTAATTCTTTTGTTTTTAAGTTTTTTTTTACCTTGAGTCCAATCATTGAATACTGAGCTGGATCTTCGAGTTTCGGTATTTTCTTCAAGCTTCTGTTGTTCTCTTCAGGAAATGCTAATCTACAAAGATACATAAAACAAAGTTGGCGATAACGATTTTAACTATAAGCACAAACCATTTCTTTCCCAGGAAACAAACCTTGGTTCTTGAGGACAGAAGACCAAGTACTCGTCCCTAACATCATCAGAAACTTTCTGAAGCCGTCTTGTGTCTTGGTTCATCATCACCCACTTGCTGAAACCGCAACACATATGTCAGTTAATGAGCATAAGGTCCCAAACCAATGCAGAAAGCTAACACAAAGACTGTATGCGAAGATAGAAACGATGAAAAGGGGAAACCTTGTAGCACGACCAGTGACTTCACCAGTAGCAATGTCCTTAAGAATCCAATCACGCCTTGTCCCAATCCTTCCTTCACTCTGACACCATGTCTCTATCTCAACCACATCACCCCTGTAACCAAAGAACCAGATTCAAACTTTTGCTCCATTTGTTTTCAAAACATATAGATAGAGAAAGAATAGCAAAAGCCATATACCAAGCTGGGTACTTGTAGATCTCAATGTGCATTCTTGCAGTAACCCAAATGAGATGCAACTTTCTCATTGTAGGTGTTGTTGCAAACCCATCTGTCGAAAATCCAACGCTTTGAGCATGATTACATCCCACCTCCTATATACAACCAACAACAAAGTTCTTGCCTTTAGAATTGAACAATAAAGATTCATACGATAGATACATATATCAAACTCTTAGTGTCAGCATTTCAGGAACTAATGCATAACGAATTGATGATTTTTAGGAAACGACATGTGCGTGACATTCGAGAAAAAAACAAACCAATCATTGAATCAAATACAAGAGAGATTACATCCCAACCTTTTTAATACAATTTCATCAAACCAACAACAAAGTTCTTGTCTTTAAAATTCACCAATCAGAATTCATACATAAAATCTTAGTTTCAGCATTTCAGGGCCAGTGGCAATTTGACCAACACAACATATAACCAACAACTAAGTTGTTGTCTTTAAAACTGACCAATCAAGATTCATACATCAGAAACTTGACACTTAAACCAATGTTAATTTCAATTTGAAAACCAATTGATGATTTTTAGGAAACGAGATGTGCGTGACAATCGAGAGAAAAACAAACCAATAATTAAATCAAAGGGAATCAACAAAGAAGACACACAAAAATCGTGAAAAAATTATCTCGTAAATTCTGGGTTTTCAGAGACAATTATAATTTATAAATACCCAAAAAACGAATCTATATTCTGACCTGCAAGAGATTAGCAATCGTTTCGACTGTAGCGGTTTTGTTACTTCCCACTTCGTAAGATCTGACGATGAACTTCTCCTTATACGACAATCCATCCTCCGTCAAGCTACCTAATCGGAGCCGATCCGCGAGAGTACCCAAACCTGTCTCTGCTTGAATCACACTCCCTTGATCAGCAGATACAGTCGCTCGCATAGGATCCGGTTTTCTCAGCTGAGAACAAGAGACCGAAGAGACGGTTCTCCGATTTTGTACCGGATCCGATGAATAAGAACGCGAGAAGAAGGCGAAGCTCTGTAACTTATCAGCCACATTACACGAAAGCTTCAACATCTTTTCTCGAAATCGAAGAAAAAAATGGAACAGAGAAGACGAGACGAGAAGCTTCTTTCGGTTTCTCTCAAAATTTTAACATAACTTTTGAATCTGTAGTGTTTGTGTCTCCGATGGGTCCGAGGTGAAAGGAGAAAGACAAACCAATAACAACGAGTTTTGAATTTGCCACTTGCTTTAGTCTGTAATTACGATTTTGCCATTGTTGGCCAATTGTCAAAGACGGGAAGAAAAAGGGAAAAGCCTCCTGGCTCAGTGGCTTTGTATGTGTGTTGTGTTGTGTCCTCCTCTGTTTGTATATTACCAAGCAGGCACGTGTCTTTCACCCTGTCTTTTCGGTTTTATCACGTGACTTGATTTTGATTTTTTTCTTTCTCAGATTTGATTTTGCATTTTTTTGAAGACTTTTTCTTCTTCTTCTTCACAATCACATGTGTTTGTTGAGATTTTTTTTTTTACTTTCATTCTCTCTTACGCTGTTATGCATCAATAATTGTTTTGATATATTATCTAACCAACTGCACACTAACTATGCGGAACAATTCAGTATATATCACACAATTTAAAGAAATAAAATAAATAAATACAGTCAGTGTATTATGCAGTTTAAATATCGAATAAATTTAGTATATATAATGGAGCTGAAATATCAAATTTAGTGTATAATTCTATAGAATGTTTGAGTAATTAAGAGAATGACAATGTAAACAGTCTATCGTGTTGAATCATGTAGAACTTCTTTATCTGATTCAACACGATATTCTAAATTTATTTCTATCTTTTTGATGATTTTTTTGTTGTCTATGTCCCGAGAAAAGTTAATCTCTTAGCCAACTCTTTAGCGAAGAATGCTTTGTTTTACTTCAGTTCAGAACCGATCTAGTATGGAATGAAAACCAGTGTTTGTACATACAAGAAAAAGAAAGAAGAAAAAATAAGTGGGCATGGTGTTTTAGAAAAAAAAAATGGATGATTTTGCTCTTTTTCATTTAGAGATTTTCTAATATTAAAGAAATGATTAATTTTACTAACATTGTTAACTATACCTGGTGGTTATTCCACTAATGTTCAACCAATTCACCCTAAAATTCTTATTAAATTGTAGTTATAAGACAAAAAAACATTATAATAACCAAATGATTCATAATATTTTAGTAATGTTTATAATATACCAAAACTTTATTGTATATAACTATTATTTAAGAAGCATGTTTAATGAAAATTTTTGATGTGTCTATCACCTTATCAAAAGTTAGTGCAAAACAGTGTCATCTCATAAATGTGATATGACAAATTTACTAAAATAAACAAAATGTTTTGATTGGTTAAGTTAAAACTAAATAAATTTCATTTTTAAATAAGAATTTTTTTATATCATATATGAACGAATTCTTATTATATAGCAAAAATTCCAAATTATAAATGAAACAAAAAATAAACATATAGAAAAATAAATTATAAGTATCATGTTAGCTAATTTTTTTATTATAATACTGTATATATGAATAAAAAGTAAAAGAAAAAGAAAAAATGAATCTTTACGACTTCAGTTTAATGTAAAATCTTCAGGTTATATTTTTTGTTTAAAGCATCTTCAATCCATCTTTATTTTAAATCTTCTAATTTAGAGGGAAAAAATGTTGTTATTTTTTTCTCTAATTATAGAAGAAAAAATAACAATAATTTTTTTCCTATAAAATAGAAATAGGTTGGAGAGAAGTCCACTTATATTTTAAAGAAAAAAATAGAAAAATACATTGGAGATGATCTTAATATTTAATATATTATTAAATGTTAAGAAAAAAAAAGTATGAGTCAAAGAAGATAAAAACATAAATAAAAATAATTTTGATCGATTTTAAGTTTTTATTTGAAATATTTAAAATATTATCTTACACATATTAATTTTTAATGCATATATTTTTCTAACGTATTAAAACATTATTTCATGTATCAGGTTTTGTATATGTTGTGATTCATTATATTTTATATTAACAAATATATTAAAGTTAGGAACATATCAACTCTTAACTTTTAATAACAATCAAACATTAAAGATACTAGTTTACACCTTATATCATACACATATAACTTTATATTCGATTGGTTTTAAACTATTCGGTTACAGAGAGTTTGTGAAAGCGAGTCATTACAAATTATAAAAAAATTGATGAAGAGATGAACGGAGAGCTACCGGAGAATTTTATAAAATATGATTTCATAAATTTAATAATAATTTTTTATTAAGAAACTACATATCATTATACGTTAAAAAGTAAGAAACTTTGATTAAATACAAAACAATAGAAATAGTTTTCGTGATTCTTGTTTAATGCCAATAACTGCATCATCTAAAAACATAAGGTTAGCGAAAAATACCAGAAAAACTTACCAACATCTAAATATTACAATTAGCTTATTTCTAACTCATATTCATATGCATAAATATACTTATTATTAATTTTTTTTTAAAATCAACCATACATTATAAAAATATATATTACATATACTTTTTTTTAACACGTAAAAGTCATACTTCAATTTTCTTACAAATATGCGTATAGATATAAATATTAATTGTCCAAAAATCAAACTAAATGCAAACTTGTCGCGCATACATTTTGTTAACGTCGATTACACTGTAATTTTAATTTTAGTTGTTAGATAATTTATTTTTTTTTAAAAAATATTTATATGTCTTAAAAGCAATGAAGTGGTTGGTATGCACGAATGTGCGGACCAACCATCTACCCGCTCTTTGGATAAATAAATATGGTACAATTCATTTTGGTTTAATTAGCAATAGGATATATATATATATATATTGACAAGATTATATTATGGAAAGAGAACAAATAAGTATTATATAGATAATATTCAAAACATATTATATGAATTTAATTATTATTTAATATAAATTTTACATTTGTGATGATATATCACTGTAAATACTAAAAAAAAAATAATAAATCAGTTTTATAAGTACAAACCGATCACCTAGTTTAAATTAATATAGATAATATTCAAAACATATTATAAGAATTTAATTATTATTTAATATAAATTTTATATTTACGATGATATATCACTGTAAATGCTAAAAAAATAATAATAAATCAGTTTTATAAGTACAAACCGATCACCTAGTTTAAATTAATTTGTCATAAAGTCTAATCAATTATACAATCGAATGCCAAAAGTCTTTCAATATGCAAAATTTTCTAAGTTTGAGGTATGCCCATAATCAACCATAGAGTAGGTCACCATAAAATTTTCTAAGTTTTAGGTATGCCCAAAATCAAAAAGATTAAGAGTTAAGACAGTCACAGAATTAAAACAGAAAAATAGTAATTAAATAAGTGAAAACAATACAAACTCTGAAGATCCCTATGATGAGAACTTAAGAGTAAAAAATGAAACGCTTGAATTAATAAGCTTCAAGTTCTCTACATGATTAAGAAAAGTGTAAACTCTTTTATCTCTAGACACTTCCATTCCTTGGATTTCAACTTTAGCAACAGTCTGGTTCTTGATATTGTACTAGACAACACAGAAATCGACATGCCCATAGCGCGAAAAAACGAATTTATCTGTATTGATCACTCCAACAAAGTATAAGGTAGCTTTTGCAACTATATTCACCCACGAAGGAGGGAATACATGAACATGCTTCGACCATTCTTGCTTTTCAAAGTCTTCTAAAACCCATAACTCAAAACTTCTACTTTCTCCACTAACAACATAATAAGAACGTTCCGAAATAAGTGAGCCTAACTTACCATTGTAATCTATCAGAGTTGATCCATCCTGCACTGCTCTACTGAAACTTTCCTTTAGTTTCATAAAACGGAACTCCGCTTGCCTAAGATCAAAGCAACCCACCATAGAAACCTCTGAACATCCGTGATACTTAGCTCGGTAATACAGAAAACCATTGATGCATATCACTTTACCTACAGGGCTATGTATTATGCGACATTCGATCTTTCTCCATGAGGTGCTCTGAGCACCAAGTATTAGAACGTGATAACTTTTCAAGGTCACTGACAATACCTTGAATTATTTCTCAATTGGATCATACCCTAAAAAGCTCTTGAGCTCTCTTCTCGCTGTCCTCTCTGGTTTCTCTAGTTCCAAAGATTGTCTCATGCTGGGATTACATATAGTCGCCCACTTAATCTTTTCGAATGACCTCGTGTGTCTAATAGAGAATAAGCCATTGATAGGGCTAAATCTTTTAAAGCAGAAGTTACTGGGAATTTTCATATAATAACTAGCAGCTATAGGAGAGGACGAGTAGTCATGGGTATTTTGAGGCTGAGGCGTCGAGAAGATGTTAGAGAAGGTTCTAGAGAGTTCTAGAACCATCAAATATATTCTCATATATATTTGGGATAATGATCTTCTTAGTTACAGATAAAGATAGAATCTAGTCTAAGTTTATCTTTATATTGTAAACATCTATATAAGGCAGTTGCCTATCATTAATATCAACGACAAGTTCTCCCAAATATATTAATATTACTTTACATGGTATCAGAGTTTTCGATTCTGGTTCTTTAAATTCCGCATTAGATTTGTGTATGATCATGATGATCAACATTGGAGACAGTGAAAGAGGTGATGATGATAAGGATGATAAAACCAACATTAAGTTTTAGTTATCTTTTTCAAAAAAAAAATATGTTTTGTGACAATCCGATCTTTATTTTGGAGTTTTGATGTTTTTTTTTTAAAAAAAATTAGGAGGTCTGTTTTTCAAATTCTGTTTTCGATTACCATCATTGTTGGTGCAATCTATGAGACATGCTCTCTTTTATTTTGTTTGGTATTTTTTTTGAGACGTGATCTCTATTGGTGGTGTCTTGGTTGAGACATGGTCTCGTTGTTTAATTAAAGAAGTGATTTCAATTATTTTGGTTCTACAAAGTTTTGTAGTTACTTTGGTTGGAAACAATGTGTGTTTTCCAAGTTTATGTCAAGTTCAGTTGAAGAACTTA